TTTATTTTTATAGATGACCTTAGTGACTATTCTGTTTAGTAACAACGTATAGTGATGGCCTAATGTTAGATCGTCCTTCATCCCTGAAGTAGAAAGCCAGCTCTCTCTCTCTCTCTCTCTCTCTCTCTCTCTCTCTCTCTCTCTCTCTCTCTCTCTCTCTCTCTCTCTCTCTCCCCTCGTAAATCCCTCCCCCTTGATCGTTGGCTGAGAAATGACTCTGAGTTTTTCTCGGCCTGCCGAAATATGACCGAACCAATCATAAAAATTGGGCACTAATGGGGACACGCCAATAAAGCCATGACCAATAAACTGGGAAATAGGGACCTGGGTAAAAGAAAAAAATGGGATTTTTTTTTCTTATTTTAGTTGCGAGTTTCAGGGTATGCCTTTCTACGCTTATGCTCTCGTTTGAGGGCATGATTTAGTTGATTCCATAGTTGTGCTGCCATAGCCAGTGGTGCAGGCATTGTGCATGCTCTAGTTGACAGGAACTAGGAGATGACAGACGCCCCTTCTTCTTCTTCTTAGGAATGACTGAATGAAATTTCACTCTTCACTCAACTACATAAGGCGAGGTTGAACAAGGGTCCAAATGGTATGATAGACCAGTATTCAACTCATTGAACCACGGAAGCTGGAAAGTAAAACTGAAGACATTGAAAAGAACAAGAATAATAACATAAACTAATTTGCAAATATCTGGAGGATTCCTGTAAAAAAGAAGACTAATGGGGGTAAAAATTAATGAAGGAGAATAAACCTAAATATAGGTAACATAGATAGATTATGAAAGAACAAATGAAAGAACATATATCCCTGTAATACAAACAAACAAACACAGACTGATATATATATATATATATATATATATATATATATATATATATATATATATATATATATATATATATATATATATATATATATATATATATATAGAATTCATGAACCTAACTGAAAGAGACAGATTCATAGATGGAGATATAAATGGATCACTATTCATTGGTAGCTAATTGCAAATAACACCCGGCTTTTATCAGATGCGTACCGAGTTCAACTATTTAAAGTGGTTATTAGTCGAACACATCTATCCTCGATCGAGTTACTTAGGAGGTAAGAAGGAAGAGGTAGTGACGTCCTTTGTGTGGTAACCTCATTCAAAACAAGACTCGATGAGTAGATGATTCGATGTGTGGGTTACATGATAGCACATCGTGGTGGTAAAGTGGAGGTTTAACTTAAATGATAGCACTCAACAAGGGCTATTGAAAATTATTGTTACAAATATTTCTCTTAATCAATATTCGCAGAGTGCTCTTCTGCCATTAATACATGTAAACCATAATATATTACTCTTAATTAATAATCGCAGAGTGCTTTTCTGCCATCAATCAATTATTACACTATAATTTATTGTTAATTACTTGCTATGATATTTAAAATAAATTGCAAATTGTGTTAATATTTTATTTATACATAACCAAATACAGTTTGTAATGTTTAGCAACTGCAATATCACTGGGAGTGCCCATGTTCACCCCCTATGTACAGTTATTTCAATAAAAAAAAAGCACATCATCTTTGGGAAGCATAAGAAGTGTCCCTCCCCCTTTGTCATGTTAGATTTAAAAGTAAGCATATAGTATGCAGATGAGAGTAGATAAATATGTTGAGAGATAAATAAAAATCTACAAATACTGGGCAAAGCAAGATTTGAATAACTGCATTTTACCATTAATGCTAATATGAATAATATGATATATATACAAGCTGTATATACAGGATCTAAGACTATGGAAAAAAATAGCTTGAAGCTCACGAGAGAGAGAGAGAGAGAGAGAGAGAGAGAGAGAGAAGAGAAGAGAGAGAGAGAGAGAGAGAGAGAGAGAGAGAGAGAGAGAGAGAGAGAGAGAGAGAGAGAGAGAGAGAGAGAGAGAGAGAGAGAGAATAAAACACATATATGGATATAAGAATATTAACATTTGCGATTTTTGAAAACTTTTAGTATACAAAGAATATTTTGGATGGTGACACCCTCTTAAAATGTTACTCAGAGTTTTTATGTTTATTGCGTCATGTATAATTTTCATTTCAAGATAATATTGATAAAGAAAAGGTAATGTATTTTTTGTAAATACCTTTCCCCATTTCCTTTTGTGGATTTATCCTATTTTTCTTTTCTGGCTCATTTAAAAAAATACATACATACATACATACATACATACATACATACATACATACATACATGCATACATACATACATACATACATACATACATACATACATACATACATACATACATACATACATACATACATACATACATACATACATACATACATACATACATACACACATACATACATACATACATACATACATACATACATACATACATACATACGTACATGCATACATACATATATACATGCATAAGTACATGCATACATACAAACATACACACATATATATATACATATTATATATATATATATATATATATATATATATATATATATATATATATACACATACATATATATGTATATATATATATATATATATATATATATATATATATATATATAATATCCGGTCAACTGCCTTCAGGAAAACTGTTCCGAGGAGAAATGCCTCAAGAAAATTGCCCCCGACAACTGCCCCCTGGAAAATTGACCTCTAGGACAATTGTCCTAAACACAAGTACTTTTATTCATCATAATTACTATAGTAAATTTTCTTTTTTGTTATCTTCAAGGTTAGGTTAGATTAAGTTTAGGGAACGTTGGGTTAGTATACACCATCATATTTATAATGACATATTTCTTTTTTTTCGCTATCTGTTAGGTTAGATTATATTGGATTACCTTAGAATATATAATTTAGCACTTAAAATACCCTCCCCCCAAAAAAAAATATGAGAAAGATTTGCTATAATACTTATATGAATAAAACACTTGCTTTGGGGGCAATTGTCCAGGGGCTGTTATCAGGGGGCATTTTTTATTTTATCTTTCATTGTTTAAGTACTTATATTTTCTTTAATTTTCATCATTATTTTATATTAGTCCTTGCATTATATTTCTTTCTTTTCTCTTTTTCAGGTAATTATTTGTTATTATTCGAGCTAATATGAAGATATGTTGTAGGAGGCGTCGCTGCTGCCTGAAAGGTATGTACCTTTATATATATATATATATATATATATATATATATATATATATATATATATATATATATATATATATATATATATATATATATATATATATATATATATATATATATATATATAAAGTTCTTGTGAACTGTGCCATAGGGAGGACGCCACTACTCACTCCTTTATGTGAAGTAGCTCTGGCGAACAGGGGAAACTGTGAAAAACACCTATGGATCTGGATGGGAGCCAGGTGTTATTTCCACTGAGCCAGGAGGGGGATATATCATCACATTACCGTAAAAAATGAATGTATAATTATCTTCCTGATGTGATCCTATTGTCCTGAGACCTCCCGGTAAATACTGACGTAAACTTACACCATGTTGAAACCAGGTGGGAATCCCATAATCCATGGAAGGGATTGAGGAAGGGGGAGGGACTATTCTTCGCCTGGTCCTAGCGTTGACAGTTCCCACACTAATGGCGGAGTTCTGTCTTAATCCTATGATTCTCTCCGCTATTTACAAGACATTTCTCTCCCAAGTGGTGAGGTAATGATTAAGTTCTCTTTTTTTTTTCTCTTAAAGCTGATATTTTGCCTTGTTTCACGCCATGTGTAAATTTTGTAAAGTGGTCAAGGAGATTAGGGGAGAAGAAAAAATATTGGCTTTCTTTTGACACTTTCCCAGCTGTGCGAAATGAGCGCCAGAGATTATATCTTGACGCGTATTAGGTCTCTAATCTTTGTGTCGAAGATTAGTTCTTTTTTATATGGATTAATTACACATTTGTTTCTTTCTGTGTTTCAAAGTCTGGAGATGAAACTTAATGTCTGTGTATTTTTAATGAAAGATTCATTCGGGTTTATAAAAAAAATTTGCAAGCTTATGTATGAAAAAAAGAATTATTTTTTTCTCGACGCTACTACTGTTCCTCAACAAAATTTGAGGCGTATCCTAGCACAAAGACTCAATAGATAGTAAGAAAATTATTCTAGTTTTGAGTCGCGACTTTGCAAGAAAATAATTTGCATTGCACTTCCGGAATTTTCAGTAAAAAGATATATATCTTCTAAAAAAGAAAGGTGAACTTTCTCACCTAAGTTCCTTTTACTTCTTGAGACTCGTGTATGTTGTATCCCAACTTGTGACCTCTTTGGAAGATGTAGTACGTGAGGACAAATGTCTACAGAAGATTTATGCTCTAAGCCACAGTGCATCGTCTGAGGGGTTTGAAACAGGTTGGTGAGAGGTATTTTACTGGATTAACTTCTGAGTAGGCTACCTAGTCTTATTTCTCTTGTATTTTGCGCGTTTTATTATTATTATTATTATTATTATTATTATTATTATTATTATTATTATTATTATTATTATTATTATTACTGTAGCCATCGTGGCTTAAGCGGTAGCGTCCGCGACTCTGAGGCGTCAGGTCGCATGCACTCAGGGTAGCGATTACATCTGCCAAACCAAATCCTTTGCAGGAAAGCGACCGTCCTAGCCCTTAGTAGAAAAGGGAGTCCGTGACGTAAAACTGGAACAATTATTATTATTGTTATTATTAGATATAATTACAGTAGGTGGATATGCTGTGAGAGTTCCATGTAAGGCTTTATCCATGTATGCAGGGTCTAGTTCAGCATGAATATGCACAGCCTCTGATACAGTCCATGGATTCGGTTTTACTTCACGAACTCCCTTTTCTACTAAGGGCTAGGACGGTTGCCTTCTTGCGAAGGACTTGTTTTGCCAGATGTAATCGTTACCCTGAGTGTATGTCCTTACTAACCTCAGTCCGAACCCTCGATCTGCCGCCTCAGAGTCGCGGACGTTACCATTTTGCCACAGAGACTATTGAACCCGGGACCTCTCGCACCCTAAGCGAGAATCATACCCCTAGCCCATCAGGCCACTGCCTCTGAAACAGTCCATAAGAACAGTTATTTAGATAAGACTTTGTAAAAATACAAAGGAGAACTGAATAGGATGATATGCATACTAAAACACAAACATTTCAATTACGCAATTCGGATAAAGTAGACACAATGTACAAACTTGACTGAAGACCTTTATCTGAGCATTAAACGTAAGCAGCTTCATTGTCTTGACAAACCGTTCCTTAGACAATACCATTCATGGTTTTGGCAAAGCTGTTATCTGCAAGCTATCTCATTTACCATTGTACAACAACATGTTTCCTGCTGTCACTTACTCGTATGAGAAGGGAAGAGCGACAAAGAGGAATCTGTCTGCTGTTTCCCCTTTGTCTTTTACTTTAATGTTGTAAGAATAATTGCAAATTCCGTCTGGGTAAGATGTTATATCCCAAAGTATTTCATTAACCCGTATGCAACAACTTGTTCGCTGCCGTTACCGTTAAAGGAGGGGAAAACTCTCTGTTGTGACCCTTCTTTTACTTCCTTCCGTACTTAAGTACAGTTATAATTTCCCTCATTGTTTAAGATCAGTGACTTTTCCTTAATGCATGAGGGGATTTAATAGTACACTGAGATTGTTAAGAGGGGAATGCAGAGTATCTGGTTGGGATCATGATGCACTTTTTTTAGATCATCTGAAGATACTGATGCGAATATTTTACGCAGTAAAAAATGACTTTTGCTCAATAAGATTTCCATTTAATATAGGTGCCGTATGCGCTAGTTATCGTTATATAAGTAATACAATATTTTTAGGAGTCAATTAGACAAAGGAAGAATTAAAATGGTTATCATTCTTGAAGTATTTAAGTTATCTTTTGAGTGTTCGCGTTGTACGATATATCTTTTATTTATTTTATAGGTTTGTCTTTTTTAAGCTAAATATAGTATCCGATAGACATGACTACATAGGTAGAATAATATTTTTAATATCCTCTGTCAATAGATATAATTCACTGTGTGTCTTTTATTTAAAGAATAGGTTGTCTGTTTTCAGCATAGGTATAGCATTTCTAGTTTTAAAGATCGACCCCTTCATGCATCAATTATCATCATTATTTAAGGGTAAAATTGTTTCAAAATTGCTTGTTCATATATAGAATTAGTGAACTATCCACTTTTCTGTCTGGTCAAGTTATTATTTAGTACAGATCTGCAACAGATATTTCAATTACAAACCAATTTTGAAAGCAAAATTAATAACATTTACTTATTTTCATTTCATTTATTAATTTGGTTTTGTTCATTTTGCAACATATTTTTGTAAATCAAACGCATTTCTTTATCCGGCAAATAGTAATGTATGTTCTGATATATTAAAAAAAAAACTGAGAACAAGGATAAAATTTTTCTAATGATAGAAATAACAAAATCGATTAACTAAAACGCTTTGTACTACACATCTATTTTATTGTAGTATTTAACACAAATATAGTAATACTGCAGCACTCTAGAATATTGGCAACCAGTGACATGTTTTTCAAACTAACAAAAAATAAAAGTGCAGATAAATAATAGCTCCTAAGAAAGGTGCCGTATTAAGATTTTTTCTTCGTTAACAGAAAAAAAAAAAAAAGCTTATGAAAAGCTGCGAACTAGGATTCTAATTTTCAAACATTAAAAAAAAAAAAAAGAATGCAGATAGATAAAGAGCTGTGAACCAGGAAGGCTTGGCTAGTTAACACTAATAAATAAGGTCGTTGGGGGGATCCAACAAGGGCTTTCTTAGATTTTATCTCTGTTCTAAGTTATTTGTCTCTAAGCACTTTAGGCTAATTGGATTTACACTGGTTATTCTTTTACTCTATATCTTTATATATATATATATATATATATATATATATATATATATATATATATATATATATATATATATATATATATATATTTGTTTATTTATTTATTTATTTACTTATTTAGTTGGATTGTTTATTTGTCATTGTCTTTTTTTTTAATGAGTATAGATTCTTTGATTATTTTACTTGTTTATTTTTAACTGTGTACTTGTTTCTACCTTGTTTATCATCTAGCTATTCTTTATATTTGTATCTGAGATCAGGTAATTAAGAGTTACTGACTTCATTCTGCTGTATATTTTTATTTATTTTGCAGTTTCTCCCATGTACAAATTTTTACTTTTTATTGCTTTAATTTTGTTTTATGTTATTATAATTTAAATATGTATAGAAATTCTCTTCGGTTTCATGTTTTTATTTTATTTTTTTCTTTAATTTTTCAATTCCTTGTTTTTTTCTTTATTTTGGTTTTAATTTTGCTGTGATTCTTTCCTTTCATTGGGATTACTTAACTTTTTTTTTATTATTTAGTTCCTCTGCTTTCAGAATGTCTCAAAGGTTTCTTTTTTTTTTATTTCTCTCTTTTCTGTCATTCTAAGATTTATATCCTTTAAAGTATTTCTTGAGTCTTTCATTTTCTTGTCCTGTTCGGTTGTGCGAAAATATATATCCTTTGAAATCGACAGGAAAATATAAAACAGTTTATTTTAGGCCACATTCACACCAAAGTGGCGCGTCGCACGCGGCATGGCACGTGCGACGCCAGTTGAAAACGAACAGAAATATAAGAAACCTTTCACACAAGTGGCGTGACACGTCCCAAGTGCCACGCCACTTCTGTGTGAAAGGTTTCATATATTTCCGGATGTTCGTTTTCAACTGGCGTGCCACGTGGCATGCCACGTGTGACATGCCACTTTGGTGTGAAAACGGCCTTAGTGTCGAAAAGTTTTGCAATCTTTGCGAAATCCCCTCGAGGGCTGCTCTCGAAAATGGAGACGACCATTGGGGGAAGGAATTTAATTCCTCTAATTTGCTGCCCTAGATCTAATATATTAAAAGCTTGTGAAAAGATTTTGTTGATTTTTATCGGGTATAAGTGTAAATTACTTTATATGAGGACCGTGCCTCAGCCACTCCATATTTTTTCTATTTCCCCCTTGTACAAATGCGGGTCCAGAGTCGAATCTTGAACCTGTGAAATAAACAGAAAAAAAAAACAAGAAGTAGTTAGAGAACTGAATTTAGAATTTTTTAGATGGGGAGTTAGGTACGATATTCACTGAGCTATGGAGGAATGGTGTCTATCTAACCGTAAAAAAAATATATATATATATCACACCAAGACTTAGGATTTCGGAGCTATAAAGTTTCATGTTTCGACTTATATGGGTGGTCTTATATGTTTAGATATTTTCGCAAGTACATAATTTGATATTATTTGTACGATTAAACTTATGCTGCACCTGATAGAGAGGGAGTAAAATTGTCACCTTCTTATTCCCTGCATGTCGTAAGAACTTACTAAAAGGGATTTCATTGGTGATATGGGAGAAGAATTTCAATCTCGTATTTATCCCTGTGCGTCGTTAGAACCGACAAAAAGGGATAGGGGAGAGATGAGCTGGCAGCCCCATACTCAATGAAATTTGATTTCTTGCTACAGACCTACCAATGGAGGGGTGCGAATGGGTAGGGTAGTAAGGTATGATGTATTCCTGTCGAAGCTTTTTTTTTTTTTTTTTTTTTTAAATCAACTGTGACCACCCTGTTGGCTTTAGCGAGATATGGCGTCATGTTGGGGATGAGAAATAGTTCATCACATAAGATCGATGTTTTGGTTATTAGGGCTTAAATGCCAGGGACAGGCGTAAGTAATTAGACATCGTGAAGTGATGAAAACTCGAACGATAACGACATCAGCTGTCAAGATGCTAACGAGGCCGCTCTCTTCATCATGTGTATTTTATGAGCAGGGAAGCTGACGATTCCTCTTCTTTTTCTTTTCGCTTGATTGAAGTTGACGAAAAAAAAAAAGATTTCTTTTAATTTAGGTATAGAATTAGCACTTAATTTTTTTTTTTATTTTAGCAATTTTTCTTAATTGTCTGGGATGTGTCATGCTCTATATTTATCGAATTTCCTTTTTGTCGTTTTACGTATCTTTATTCTTCACTATGGGATGGACGTAGACTGATATTTATATATTTATTCTTGTATTGCTTGTGATTAATTAATATATATATATATATATATATATATATATATATATATATATATATATATATATATATATATATATATATATATATATACCAGGACGGGCCAAAAAGAAAATATACCCTCATCGGGCCTGGGCACGAAAAAGAGAGAGAAACAGAGATGGGGACTATAGTGACTTGTCAGATGTGAAGGTATAATAAGAGACGTGTAACGAATATCCAAGAATATTCGGTGTTGATGTAGGAATAGAAAGAGAACCGTAACTGAAGGAAGAATTAACATCGAACTGTTCGGGACAGTCCTATATTTACTTTTACATCACTTCCCTGCAACTGAGTGTTTGGCCTGAGGTATTCTTAGTTGACTTGTCTCATGAGATTTGAGCAAAGTATTGTCTCGAGATTTCCATGTAACTGTTACTCCCAGCCGTTACTCTCATATCAGTCAAATCTGGCCAGCTAATATCCTACCTAACCATATCTGTTGTGAGTTTCAAGGCGAGAAATAGTGAATATCGTGTTACTTGCATGTAGTTGCTACTTGCTGACGAGTTAGCATCATATCATTCCTATCTCGCAGAGAATCGCAAGTGAAAACGCTTGTTAGGCATAAGTGACGTGACTCTCAAGGTGACAGTAACTTTCTTGGTATGTGCATGCATGTGATACTTTTACATTTGTGAGATTGTACTATCAATCGTATCTTGTAAGCTAATTTCCTACTTTGTCCAAGCTGAAATGACTCCCTGGATAAGAGTAAGGTGACAGTAACTCTCGTAATACTTGCGAGTTCTTGTTACTTTTGTGAAAGTTTCTGTCACTTCACTCGCAGTATGAACAAATTTCCTACTTAGCCGTAGGCGACGAGACTAGGAGCGAGTAAGATGACAGAAAGTGACATGATATTTTCACAAGTTTGATGCTTTCGTGAGAGTTACTGTCACATCGTCGT